CCAGGAAGATCGAATTCGACCAGAACCCAGGGGCTTCCAATCCTTTTCCAAAAGATGCAATCTGGACGGAAGTTTCTAGCAGTACCACTCCAGCTATGGGGAAAGAGACGGCGATGACCGTCGATATGGAAGATCTTCCCTTTAGTGGAAGCACGAGAACCTTTTCCAATCATCTTAATGATTAAAGTTTTCTCCTGGAATTGTCGGGGTGCAAAGCACCCTAAGTTTCGCTCTACCTTTGATTTGTATAAGTGGTGATGACGCAGATGAAGTCATCAAAAGTCTTGGCTTCGGCTCTTGGAAAGTCTCAGATGCCATTGGATTCAGTGGCGGAATTTGGGTCCTCTGGAATAGTACTGAGATGGACCTTGAAGTCCTCGACAAGAAAAAACAGTTCATCCATCTAAGCTATAAGATGAGAAGCAAAGAGATTTGCCATTTTAATGTGGTTTATGCAAGCCCTAATGAGTACGAAAGAGGAGAGCTCTGGCAAGCTATCCGAGGCATTAGCAGAAGAACCTCTGTCCCCTGGCTCATAACTGGGGACTTCAACTCAATCCTCAACTCCTCGGAGAAGCAGGGTGGAGCTCCTTTCAATGCTGCCAAGAATAGAGCCTTCAACGAGTGTATTGAGGATTGTGGACTCATTGACTTGGGATTTACAGGACCCAAGTTTACATGGTTCACTAGTTCATCCAAACTCAAAGAGAGACTTGACAGAAGTTTGTGCAACTTGGAATGGCACCAAACGTTCCCTGATTCCACAAATCTTCATTTGCCTAAGATCAAGTCGGACCATCGTCCTATTCTCACAAGCAACAAAAGACAGCAAGGTGGTAAGAGATTGGTGAGACGCTTCCAATTCCTTGCATCCTGGATTCATCACAAAGACTTCTTTCCTTTTGTTTCTCCCTCTTGGAACTGTGACAGTGATTTGTCTCCCTCTTTGCAGGTCCTGGCGATGCAACTCCAACAATGGAACAAAGACACCTTTGGGAATATCTTCCGCATGAAAAACATCTCCTTAACAAGCTCAATTCGCTAGAATTTCTCAATGAAAGGTCCCCAACCAAGCAGTCGATTGAGAAAGAAGGGAAAGTTAGAGAAGAGCTTGAAGAAACTTTGTGGCAGGAGAAGATCCTCTGGCTCCAAAAGTCTAGAGCAAATTGGATCCTGCACGGAGATCAAAATACCCGTTTCTTCCACAATAGTACTTTGAGTAGAAGGAAAAGGAACAAAATATTGGGTCTGAAGGGAGACAATGGGGAATGGGTTACCAATCCTGTTGTGCTTCAGAACATGGCAAGAAGCTTCTTTGTTACTCTGTACACAAGAGAAGAAAAGGAAGATTGGCCTAGCATTGCTGTTGAGTTCCCAAACCTTGACGATAACCGGATGAAATTGATGAGTGTCGTCCCAAGCTTTGAGGTGATCAGAAGTATCGTCATGAATATGAGTAGCCTGAAAGCTCCTGAGAAAGACGGGTACCAAGCTCTGTTCTTCCAAAAGTGTTGGGACTTGGTGGGGCACGACTTCTACATATTTGTGATAGATTGCTTTAGAGAGCCAGGAAGGATTCGACGGGTGAATGAGACACTCCTTGCTCTCATTCCCAAAACTGAAACTCCAGCCACGATGAGCCAATTCAGGCCAATCCGCCTCTGCAACATTGATTACAAAGCAGTGGCAAAATGCATTGCCAACAAACTTAAACCTCTTATTCCCTCCCTCATTAATCCTAATCAATCCAGTTTTGTTCCTAAGAGGGAGATTACTGATAACATTCTGATTCTGCAAGAAACCATCCACATCATGAGGATCAAGAGTGGAAGAAAAGGGTTGATGCTCCTCAAAATCGATCTTGCAAAGGCGTACGATCGAATTGACTGGAGATTCTTGGAGAACACAATTCGGGAGGCTGGCATTCCTGAGAGTTGCATTAGAATCATCATGGCTTGTGTCACTACGGTGGAGATGTAGGTCCTTTGGAATGGCGGAGAAATAGACACTTTCACCCCCAGCAGAGGATTACGTCAGGGATGTCCCCTTTCCCCTTACCTCTTTACTTTATGCATTGAATTCCTTAGCCACTGCATCAATAGAGAGGTTAGGGATAAGAGATGGAATCCTATGAAGCTTTCTGCAAATGGTCCACCACTATCTCATCTGTTCTTTGCAGATGTTCTAGTGTTGTTTGTAGAAGCTAACATTAGGCAAACCAATTGTGTTATGAGCTCCCTTGACGCATTCTGTGAAGCCTCAGGGGAATTAATTAGCAAGGAGAAGTCTAGAGTTTTTTTCTCTAAGAATACTAAGAATGAGGTAAAGAAGGACATTTGTGATAGGTTGGGTATCCAGGCTACTCTTGATCTGGGAAAGTACCTCGGTGTCCCTATCCTTCATGGCTGTATTAACAGAAATACCTATCGTTTTGTTCTTGATAAAATTGACCAAAAACTTACTGCTTCGAAAGCTAAAACACTGTCCTTAGCAGGGAGAGTCACTCTTGCTTCTTCTGTTCTGAAGGCTATCCCTTCTTATGCTATGCAAACCACCTTATTCTTTGCCTCTGTGTGTGATGCTATCAATCGTAAGATTAGAAGATTTGTTTGGGGTTCACAAGAGGGAGAAGGAAAACTCATCTTGTTTCTTGGGATAATGTTTGTAAACCGAAGGATCAGGGAGGGCTTGGGCTAAGTTTTGCTAGAAGCTTAAATCTCTCCTATATGATTAAGCATGCTTGGATGATTTTTAACAATGAGTCAACCCTTTGGGTGCAGGTTATGCAGGGAAAGTATTTCAACTTCAAAAATGGGGAAATCGTCTCAATGAAGAAGAGTAACCACTCTCCCCTATGGAAAGCAATCTTGAAGGTCATGCCACTGATGAAGAGGGCAGCCACTTGGAGTATACGTGATAGAAAGACAACGAGCTTCTGGAAACATCCCTGGCTGGATTGTGGACTGATTCTCGAGGACCACCTACTTAGGAGTATCTCGGAAGAAGAAGAAGACTCATGCGTTGCAGACTGGACCACTCCTACCAATGAATGGGACGGGAATAGACTTAATTTCCTCTTACCAAATGACATCCTTTTGTTGATTGCAGGAGCTGAAGCACCAAAGCCGGAACTTGGGGAGGACAAAGCCATTTGGGGGGTCGAGCGAGATGGAAGGTTTTATTTGAAGTCTGCCTACAAACTTGCTGCTGACGAAATTGAAGACAAAGCTGACCCGACCTTGAAAGACTTGTGGATATGGAAAGGGCCACCTAGAGTGAACTATTTCCTCTGGCTCACAATACACAACCGGCTACTCACCAACAAAGAACGTGAGAGGAAAACTCTTACCACGGACAGCAGTTGTCCACACTGCAGAGGAGAAGATGAAATACCAAGCACATCCTCAAAAGCTGCAGGAAAAATAAAGGAATCCGGGAGCATTTCAAAATGGATACCGGACAAGGACAACAAGAGGACTTCAAGAGCTGGCTACACAGGAATTCAAAGATGCCGACAAAGGAATCGAGTTTGGTATCATTTGTTGGCACTTGTGGAAACAAAGAAATGAAGAGACCATGGAAGGACGCATTTACTCTGAAGAAGGTCTTCTCCAAAGAATCAACTCCTGGTTCAAGATTTATGAGACGGCCAAAGAGAATGAGGAAAGCATTACGACACCTGTTGCCAGATGCCCTATCAACAAACAGATTTCATGGTGCCCGCAGGAGGAATCCTGGATGGGTCTGTTCTTGCTCCAGGAGGACTTGCAGCTGCTGGAGGGATTCTTCATGATCATATGGGACGTTGCAGAGGCGCTTTTGTGAGCAATCTCGGCGTCTGCTCTATCACTAGTGCCGAGCTCAAAGGAGCAGCATAAGGGTTATCTATGGCGTGGAATTTGGGCTTCAAGAAGGTCCAGCTTGGCCTTGATTCGACCACGGCCATCACTATCATCAAGAATTCTGAGGAAGACGACCATCAACATGGCTTGCTTGCCAAGCAAACTAGGGACCTTCTGAATAGAGATTGGGAGGTTCGCATTTCTCACGTGTATAGGGAATTGTAATTTTGCAGCTGACTACTTAGCTTGTGTCGGGCATGAGTTTCCTTTTGACACACATCTATTCGATGTGTGCGACCCGAAACTTTGCTCTTGGCTCTCCTACGATGTAACGGGAATTTCCCAAGACCGTTTAATCTATATGAACTAGGATGCACTGCATCTTGTCTTCTACCAAAAAAAAAAAAGTTAGAACTGAAAGACGGTTAAAAAGTAAAAACCAATCATTGGATTCAGGCGGGTAAGATTAAGAAGATGAAAAGGTAAAACTAGGGATGGCAACAAAACTCGAACCCATGGGTACCCACCCAACCCAATCCGGTCAACGCGGGTAAAATCCGTGTTGACGGGTTTTGGACCGGGTTTGGGTTTAAACCCGTTCACTATCACCGGGTTGGGTTGGGTTTGAGTTTAGGTAAATCCGCCCCATGGGTACCCACCCACACCCATATAATTAATTTTTTCGGTATATTTTATATTCTAAACAACTAATCTTATTTATGTTTGTGGAGACATATCTAATTTTTTTCTTTCTAATTGTGTAGAATGAAGTTGATGTCATCGAGTGGAGAGTGAAGTAACTTAATTGAAAGGAAGAAGCTTTCAATTAATCATGTTATTTATGGATAATTTGTGATTTGCTTCAATTTTCTTGAGTTTTCTAGATTGGTGTTGAACAATTTGTATAGTTAATTTGTGATTTGCTTGAATTTTCTAGAATGGTGTTTTATATATGGATAATTTGTATTGAGAGATTGATATTTCATTTTAATATTGATACGAACTTGTTATTGTAAATTTTTTACGACAAAAACCCGTGGGTACCCATGAACCCGCGGATACCAAGCGCATTGGGTTGCGTTTGAGTTTTTCAAACCCAATAAATTTTACCTCGAGTTTTTTTCCACAAATAAACTCATAGATTTGAGTTTGAATTTAGCAAAACCCGACCCAACCCGACCTATTGCCATCCCAGGTAAATCCCGATAAACCCGATAACCCCTTCCCTCTTCCACGTATCTCAACGCGCTCCAAACAAAACAAACAGGGCGTAAGAAAAAGTGAGCTTTTGCAGCAGCGGCCGCCATTTCTGTTTGGCTTCGTCCCCTCCCCCATTTCTATACTTTTTGGAGACATTTTGCCACTGAGAAGAAGAGTGTGGTGATGCAGCAGAAAGGGAGGCTCACAAACCGCAGATCCAGAAGCTTTTCCAGGTCCCGTATCGCCATTCAGGGGTACTAGCCTCGTAGGCAGCAGTATAATTATTGTTCCCCCCCAAACTCTCGGAGAAAAATTTTCACCTCCACATTTCTCGATCTCGCGAGAAACAACCGGGGAAAAAAGCACCGCGAGATCAGCAATGGCGGCCAATGGCGCAGCACCTGGTACGATTACTCACTCTGGCTTCAATTGTATCCATTTCTCCTCTTTCTTTTTTTCTTCAGCAACATCGTTATTCGTTTTGAGGGTCGTAATTATTCTGTGTAACTTGCAGTGGTGGAACGTTAGGTTCAGAAGAACTACTGGATGGAGCATTCCGTTGATCTGACGGTGGAGTCCATGATGCTCGACTCAAAAGCCTCTGACCTCGACAAAGAAGAAAGACCTGAGGTTCGATCCTGCTCACTTTGTTCTATGCGCATTACTCGTCCTCACTTTTACATTTCATTAGTAGGTGATTATTCCGAATCAGTAATTTCACTAATTTGTCCTGTTCTTGTTCGAGCTTTCGCTTTCATGGTTGGTTGGCTGCTTAAGCATAGTATTAATAAAAAAAAAATTAAGCTATGATTAGAGGACTCATCTTACTTGCTACTTAAAATGGAAGCGTCAAACTATCAATTTCTGCGTCTCGGTGACTGATATTTCACACCACTATTGTATCAGAACCTTCTCTGATCCATGGAAACAGTAATTACTAAGCTTTTTTCTTCTTTCAAATCGAGTCTTTGGCTGATCATTCATGTAATAAGCCTAGCAGCAACTAGCAAAGCTCTGGTTTCTTGAGATTGGATCCTGAAGCTTAAAACCATTCCTGATTTTTGAAGGGTGTTTGGTGTAATTCTTTAAAGAATAATCGGGCTTACTTACTGTCACTATGAGCTTTCAGTTTTGGGTTGGTGGTGTTGACTTGAATGATTTGGGTGTCTGGGTTATGAACAGGTACTTTCTCTGCTCCCACCGTATGAAGGGAAATCAGTTCTGGAACTTGGAGCTGGCATTGGCCGTTTTACTGGAGAGATAGCTAACAAGGCTGGCCAAGTCATTGCTTTGGATTTCATTGATAGCGTGATCAAGAAGGTGCGGTGTCTTGTGTCTCTTCTTTGATACTAAGGTATTTCCGATTTGGATATGCTTATAAATCCTACACTGCTTCTACCTCTTTGTATGTTACCTATTGCAGAATGAGGATATCAATGGTCACTTTAAGAATGTCAAGTTCATGTGTGCTGATGTAACATCACCAGACCTCAACTTTTCAGAAGGATCCATGGATTTGATTTTCTCCAACTGGCTGCTTATGTATCTCTCAGATGCTGAGGTGAATATTCTTGTATATTCGACAGGGATGCGTGTCTAAAACTTTAAGCTTATGCTTCTTTGCTTCAATTGTATTATTGCATATGAAGACATGATGGAGTTGGTTCTGAATTATGGATCTGAACCAGTATTTTCTTAGGCGTGTCTGCTAACATAAAGACTTTTTTTTTGTGTGTTCCATATTCAAATGTTATAGCAGTAGTGAGCCTTGTTCATGTTTTCTATTGTTGGAGACTGATATAATTGTGTAATATTGACTCGGGACTTTAGGTGGAAACCCTGGCTGAAAGAATGGTGAAGTGGCTAAAACCTGGCGGGTTTATTTTCTTTAGGGAGTCCTGCTTCCATCAATCTGGAGATAGCAAAAGGAAAAGCAACCCGACTCACTACCGCGAGCCAAGGTTCTACACGAAGGTCAGTTTCAAAATCACCTGCTGAATATGTCAGTTTTCGGGGTTTGTATAGGGATTACCTTCCTTGTACCCAGATATTGAATGCTGTCTCCTTATTCAACTTGACTTTGTTTCAGCAAGTGGTCTCTACGGGGATGTGTATTTTGGTTTCAATGCATAATACTTGTTTAACAAATTTCAGGTATTTATGGAGAGCCATATGCATGATGATGCTGGAAATCCCTATGAGCTCTCTTTCATCGGATGCAAATGCATTGGAGCGTACGTGAGGAACAAAAAGAACCAAAATCAGGTAATACTCCTAAGGAGATCAGGTCATTTCCTAAGGTTCTTCGTCAGATATGAAAGACCTTAACTTCAGATTACGCCCTACTTTGCAGATTTGTTGGATATGGCAGAAGGTCCAGTCGCAGGTTGATAAAGGATTCCAGCAATTCTTGGACAATGTTCAGTACAAGTCCAATGGAATTCTACGTTATGAACGTGTATTTGGGCAAGGTTTTGTGAGCACTGGAGGCCTAGGTATGCTACGTTTCAGTGTTTTTTAAGCTTGTGCAAAACTTGTGCATTTGCTACTTTGATGAAAGCAATTAGAAGGTTAGCTATTGAGTTAAGCAATATGTTCGGTTTGCAGAAACAACAAAGGAGTTTGTGGCAAGGTTGGATCTGAAACCTGGTCAGAAGGTTCTAGACGTTGGCTGTGGTATTGGTGGAGGTGATTTCTACATGGCTGAGACCTTTGATGTTGAGGTGGTTGGGATTGACCTCTCAATCAACATGATCTCGTTTGCTCTGGAGCGTGCTATTGGACTCAAATGCGCAGTTGAATTTGAGGTTGCTGATTGTACCAAGAAGACATACCCAGATAACTCCTTCGATGTTATCTATAGCCGTGACACCATTCTCCATATTCAGGTAAAGACTTCACTGTGTCGTTTCATGTTCAGTCAAGTTCTCAAAGCTGTCTTGGGAATCTGGGAAGTCACTCTTCTTTCATATGATTTTTGCAGGACAAACCAGCACTGTTTAGATCATTCTTCAAGTGGCTGAAGCCTGGAGGCAAAGTTCTCATCAGCGATTACTGCAAGAGCGCTGGAACTGCTTCACCCGAATTTGCAGAGTATATTAAGCAGAGAGGATATGATCTTCATGACGTGAAAGCATATGGCCAGGCACGTGCATCTCTACGGTAGATCAGACTCTTGTTGTGGCCCTTTATTTTGGTATTTAGCTTACTGATTTTGCTTTTTGTTATGCGGGTGATATAGATGCTTAAAGATGCTGGTTTTCAAGAGGTCATAGCTGAAGACCGCACAGATCAGTTTAACCAAGTTCTGGTACGGGAACTGGATGCTATAGAAAAAGAGAAGAATGCATTCAGTCAGGACTTTTCTCAAGTATGCTCTCCATCTCCTCTTCATGATCTCTATCAACCGTCTTGCACTCATAACTCAAATCTTTTTAAACGCTCAAATTTATGGTCCAATTCTTCTTTGCAGAAAGATTATGACGATATAGTCGGCGGATGGAAGTCGAAGCTTGTCAGGAGCTCTGCCGGCGAGCAGCGATGGGGCCTGTTCATTGCCAAGAAGTAATTTCCTGGCCAGCCAGTCAGTCCTCTCCTTTGTCCTATCAGTCAAGAATAAAAAAATGTCTCCCCAAGACATCAGTTTAGCCAGTGATAGTGAATCCCTCTACTGTGTTCTTAGTCACTCACTGTGTCGGAATATGATCCACTCTTCCTTTCTGCTGCTATTAAGCTCACTCTGAGGTTAACGTGCTCGTTGAAGACTGGAAACTAGTGTTGAATTCGCAAGTTGCTGCTGCATTGTGATTCTAGTCTCCCAAGACATCGTTCTTTAAGTTCAAAGATTGTAGCATTGTGATTGTTTTGTACTCTCTTGAACAATTCTCTTGTTTTCTGTCAAATGGTTTGAAGTTTGAACTGTCTCCTATTTTGAACACTCGCAAGAACATTCCAAATCAATACATTAAAGATCAGTAATGGCCGGAACGCCTTCGTTAGTTCTTCGCACCACAGCTTCATCTGCGAACTACATACCGTCCCACCATTAAGGGTAGGGATGTGAATTTGGAATGGACGACGGACGAAAGCCAATTACTTCAAATCCAAACTTATGCACAAATACTAAGCCTCATAACACGATTTAACAAGTTAAGGAACATGCACCGCACTCCTACCATCACTTTTTCTCTCACCAGGGTATCAGCATTCTTGATCCGTTTTGACTCTCATGGCTATCTGGGATCCGCTCAAGCCTTCCAGGACTCCCCCTTCATATATCTCACCATACTGGCCCAAAGAATAATGAGGTAAACCCTACAATGGAACATGACAGAGCCCTCCATATCAGTCAGAGAAAGGGATGTGGAGGAGCATATAACAGATGGCACTCACAGGGTTTAATGCAAGCATCTTTGGTTCCAGGAAAGATTCCGGCAGCCGCAGCATATTACTCCAAAGCTGGATGTTGGCATTCTGTCTTGTTGTTTCTTCCAACAACTAATAGTTATCAGATATCTGACAGCGTATCTTTGCTTTGGCTTATTTCAGAAAATGGATGGGTGCCTGGCTTCTTAAGCTCTGTAGCAAATTCATATGCCATATAGATTCGTATTCTTTGGCATTCTTTTAGTTATAGATATTTCAGCAAAGTGTTGCTAGGTTAACCTGCATGAGTAACATGGAATAAGAAATTGTATCTGAGTGATAACTTATTCTTGCAGCTATGCAGATTTGAAGGATGCATTGTATGTGCGAGGCATCCTACAGCATGCAGTAGAAAAAACAAAGACCTGCATTGCAAAAGCTCCTATAAGAGATCCCCGATTCTCGAGGCAAAGTACACATACAGAACGAACTTCCTAGGTTGTGCAACTCAAAAGATAAATATACATTTATATTCTATGAGCTTGACCGGAATCACTGAAGTTTCATGCATGAGCACGTAATTAAAGGAGAAAGCTCTATGTAACACCGTAGACGCGACACTAATGTACTATGATTCGTGCATCGAGCAATCACAAACCTTGTTCTCTTTCGAGTTGCAAGAATTGGGTGCACATTGGTTTGTCGAACTTGAACCCAGCCACCTCTGCTTCCTTCCAGATTACCTTCGACTTTGCCAGTCTTCCAGAAGCCATATGTACTTTAACCAAGTCCTTGTACATGTCATAAGTTGGGGAGAAACCTGCTTCCTTGAGTTTCGAAAAATATCTGGAAGCCCTTTGCAGATCATTCAAGGCAACACAAAGCTTTATAACCACACGATAAGCCGGGAGATCAAGTAGAACATTTGAACCCTCCATTTCCCAGACAGCAGCCAGCGCATCCCGATACTTTTTCTCTGTGTACCGGCTGTGGATCAAAGTTGTGTACATAACCACACTTGGTTCCCTTCCTGATAGTTTAAACCAATCACAAAGACCTTCCACAATCTCAAATTTCCCAAGCCTAATGCTGACTTTCATGAGAGCAGTGCAATCCTGCTGGGTTAAATTCAATGCGTCCCTATTTCCAAGCTCCTCCAGTAACTCTGCCACAAGTGAGTGTTTGTCTGGATTCTTTATCAACTCGAGGGCTAACTTGGCATATATACCTGCATCCAACACTCTATTGTCTCGCTTAGCAACGGAGACAAGTTTCAAAGCGAGCTGTAACTTTCCACCTCTAATGAATCCCCTAATCATTGCCTCCATGACCCCTCGGCTTGCCAAAGTAGTGAGGCTCTGCCAGTCAAATGGTACTTTCAAGTCGTGATTCCGTGCTAACACTTCAACAGTAGAAGCCAAAATCCTATCATCAGGGACAAGGTCAGGTTGATTCTGAGCCCAACAAAATGTCTCCAGTGCTCTCTCAGGGAGACCCATGTGACCCAGCTCTCGAATAGTCAAAGATAACGAACCTTTACTGAGAAAGCGAGCATGCTTCTTTAGAACAAGAGATGCATTTTCATCAGTCTTAAGGCCACTAATCCGTTTAGCCAAGTTAATGAGAAAAACTGGGTTCTTGTGAAGTTGATTGGAAACTGACGACGGGGTTGAAACAGCTGACTTCGGAGGGATAAACTTATATCGTTTCTTCGGGGTAGGGAGTCGTAAAGGCCTAATCTTGTGAGGAAGGGGAAGTGGCAATGGCCTTTCTCTGGTCAACTTGCCTGGCTTTTGAGGGATCCTACCCTGAAAGAGGGAGGATATTGCTTCAATCTCGTCTTCTTCCCAATCAATAAGGTCCTCATGGTTCCCATCTTCCTCAACCTCACCTGCAGCTTCAGCTTCTTCCTCATCGTCAGAAGAATCACCATTGTCATGTATCAAAAGAGACTCAGTAGTTGGCTTCTTGAGGAACAAGTTGACCCCAAAATCCGGGGGAAGCTTAGAGCGTCGAGGGCTCTGATGATTCTTGCGCAGCTTTCTATACCCAACTCTGGTAGTGGAGCTGAAACGAGGAACTAAAGTCAGCAGTCCACAAGCTGGAGCTCGGCCAACAACTACTGAGCACACACATGCCATTGACAGTCTTTTCAGGCATCTGGTATTCATAAAGCAAACAGAGAACTCAGGAACATCGTAAATGGGGAAACTTTTCACTAGAAGGGAAACCAAATTCAGTAAATCAAGCTGGGCCAAATACTCTAAATAGGGTTCTGTTCATTGTAAGGAAACACACCCAAAAATCGGCGTAAGCTAGTTCTCAGGCGCCGCTGGTTTATTCTGCTAGGGAATGGCGTTCCACATTCGTGCAAACGGGAGGGGCGACCTCTACGCTGGGAATTCGTCTTGACGCGCTTTGTAGTTGAGCTTCGGCTTGGTGTGACGCCGAAATTGAAAGGATAGATAGAAGCTTTGCACAGCCACAGGGCGACGAGTCTACCCTATTTATAATAGGCTGAAGCCTAAAACTGAACCCCATTTTGAATTTGCTGCCTCCGGAGCGTTTCTCGGAGGGGTATTTTCGGACACGGAAAAAATACCCCGGTTCATATTGCGTTGAACGGGCCTGATGGTTTTTTTTCCGTTGGTACGATCAGCGCTCGCTCCCTTCATTGATTTCACCGTCGAATATAGTCAGCGCGGTGTCTCTGGCCAGTGTCTTCACCGACGGAATTCGTTCGCCTTATTTTGTGTGGTCAGTTGGAGCAGCGCTCTCCCCGTTCTGTGGCTTGAGCGGCGAAATCAGTAAGTGCGATCTGTCCGTCCAGTTTCTTTGCCGTCGAAATTAGACACCATCCGAGCGCGAGTTGTCACCCCATGGTGTCGACTCATTGAACTGCAGTTATGAAGGTAACCGGACTCTCAGTACTTTGTCTTAACCCCGGAAATCAGGTAGAATTAAAGTTTCAGCTCCATGTAGGGTTGAGCTTAGTTAGGTAATCGAATTCTACGTTTTCCGTCTTCACCGCCGAAATCAGTAAGAAATCTATTTTCGAATTCATATATGTTTAAGATGAGTTATTCGTGGTTGTCATTCAAGGTTCAGGATAGACCTTTTTACCTAGAAGGGTTGTGGGAATAGGGTCTGAAAGCTTTGTTGTTATCAAAGCTTTGGTGGTTCATTTGTAGCAGCTTAACTCCTTTGTCTGGTAATTTGAGTTCTAACTGCTGGCTTGATTTGATCTGTATTCCAACAGAGTTTGGTTTTTCTTATGTTAATAGACCTTTAACTTCATAGCCTGACTTTTGGATTTGTGCTCCATACCGTATACACGGACAGCAGAACATAGATGATCTGTTTTATTCGTTCGAAAACCAGAAGTGGATTCTTTTTGTTACTCACCTGTTTTGAGGTATAATCAATATAGTTGGTGCATAGTGTTTATGAAGTCATGTTCATGTGCATGTTTTGATTTATCAATCTTCGCATTGACGTCAGTTGCTACAAGGACGTTCATCATATATTCACTGCTGTCAAATAACATTATAAAAAATAGACACAACAATGATCTCCTCTCGAATTCATTGAAGATTTAATATGATTATGGACATTCTGCCTATTAACAGAAGCCACCAAATAAGCTTTCCCCCCATTGTGCCTCTATAGTCTATATTAATGTAGATATGCAGAACTGGCGATGATAAGTGTGTACAACGTATTTGCTCATTCAGGGTTCATTATTTTCGTTCCCCTAAGTTTTGATTATTCTAGATGAGTGGTTTTGGATAGGAAGCATTAAACCATAATCATCAATCAGTCAAAAATCTATTTTCAATATCTCAGTTCTGTGAACCCGTTGTGGGAGCAGTCCCAGAATGAGGTCTACTTGGGAAATCAGTTCCCTAGCTTCCAGTTTTGTGTAATCAATTGGCAACCCAGAGTCAGTTTCCCGATTATCGACAGTTTCTTACAATTTGAGACACAGATGACATTGTTGATGCTTAATCCTTCATTCCTGACTGCCATTGTTGTCTTCTGTGGTGTGCTTTTTGTTTTCTTAGAGTAAGTGGTGTGGCGTGAGCTGACCATTATTGATTACGTGATCCAAACCCATTCCCCTAAACCTAGATTATGGGTGTGACTACATTTGAATTAGGCGAGTCATCTACTCAGTCGAATTTCGTTCATAATACTGTATCCACTCAGCAATGTAAGTATTTTGTTTTTGTTAATCAAATAATGGCAAAGTTCATCAGTCTTTACACAATGACTTAGTATTTTCTGGTTTTTTGTTTTTAAAGCTTCAAATTTTGCAGCATTTCATGGCAATTCATCAGGCATCAACAGGGGTCTTCGTTCGTCTTCACCTTGTGCGTTATTTCTCGGTTATGGATTGGTGGTCATTGGACAAAACTCAATCTCACAACTTGGTAACTATTTTTTTTGGGTTAATTGCAAGGATGGTCACTGGGTTTACTAAAACCGTTCATGTTTGGTCACTGAAAATATTTAATTTCATTCATGGTCACTAAGATTAGTTCAATAGTTCAAGTTTGGTCACTCTCCGTTAGTTTTTGCTGATGTGGCAGTCAACTATTATAGTTGACCGTTAAATGAGTGACGTGGCCATTAAAAAAATAATAAAAAAAATAAAATTTAAATATTTACAATTTCCACCTCATTTTACAACTATTAAAAAATAAAAATAAAACTTACCTCCGCCATCTACGCCACCGTGGCCATGACGCGATCGTCTCCGCCGCCGCTCCTTCCTCAACGCCGGCCTCGCTTTGCTTCATTCTCCACCGGATTCCAATTGGCCATCTTATACTTCTCCCTGGCGATAATTTCCCTCGGCTCCGGCTCCGGCTCCCTTTTGCCATGCTCCCTGGCATTCGGCGCAGACCAACTCCACAACAAAGACAACCCTAACGACAAGGCCTTGCAAGGCTTCTTCAACTGGTACTACGTTGGCAGCGCGTCGGCCACGCTGCTGGGACTCACCCTGCTCGTCTACGCTCAGGACGCCTACGCAGTGGCGGACCCAGAAAATTTTCATAGGGGTGTCCTCTTTTAAAAAATAAATTAAATAAAAATAATTGATAAAAATAAAATTGTAAATATGAAAATATCTTACTCGTATAGGTTAAAAAAGTCCATGATATGTTTTCATATTCGGAAATAATTGTAGAATACACTTGGTGTCTATAGTGTTAAAAAAATTGTCTCTATATACACTGCTAGCTAGACAATCTGTAACATCCCGAACCTTTTCCAGACAAGATACTGTCCGCTTTGGGCCTCTACACCCGCACGAATTTCGACTTGGGGTGCAATTCACGGTGACTTCCCATAAGGTCACCCATCCTTGTTGTGCCCCACACTGAGCACGTTTAACTTCGGAGTTCTCATAAGAACTCCTCTATTACACCCCAAAACGCGTCTTGTCAGTTAAGACCGGTTTCCTACTTATGAACCATGGATCTCTCCCGTACTTTGTCGATGTGGGATTCGCCTGAGGTGTTACACAATCATTCACGAACTTATCGCATATTCGATTTGTAAACTTGTTCTTGATGTAACCCAAAGCTGAAAGACTCTTTCAACACTTGCCGTACAATCATAAAATCAATACAAATTAAGGGTAGTTTGAAATTAGTTTAATTGTTAGGTTTTTAAAATAATTAGTGATAGGGAATGCAATTTTACCATTACACATTGTTCAAAATCGAACAACAAATGAGTTTAGCTCAACATAAATTAAATTTATTAATAATAATAGTGTTCTTGATTTGAATTATACAACCTACCACTTATATTCCTATACACAAATGACAGTAGGATAATCATTTTTTCAAATTTAAGGGGTGTCCCTCACTATCAATTTTTTTTTGTCCATACATAAATTACTACCGAGAGTTGGAAAATCGTTTTCCCAAAATTTAGGGGTGTCCGGGGACACCCCTAAACCTCCCTGGGTGCGCCCCTGCGCCTACGGGTGGGAGATAGAGCTCGGCGTCCCCGCTTTCCTCATCCTGTTCTCCACGCTGCTATTTCTGCTTCCTTCTTCGTCTTACGTGAAGCACGAGCCGGAGAGCAGCTTGCTCGTCGGGTGCTTTCGCGTTGTGGTGGCTGCGGTCAGGAAGGGTGCTGCTAGGGTCGAGATTGATGATGAGTTTGTGAATTTGGTTGGTGCTGATGGTGGTGGCGGCCGGTTTTTCCATGGTCGTGTTGGGTTCGACGATGGCTTAGTTATGATGAGCTACCCAACTCATAACTTTAGGTAGTTGTTTCGTTCTTCATCATGCACTTCGTTCACTTGAATCTCTTATTTGGAATGAACAATGCTTGCATGTGACTGAACAGAGCTTGCTTCATAGCCAATTCAGAGACGGACATAAACCCTGCAGACGGTTCAGCGACGGACCCTTGGAACCTCTGCACCATGGAAGAAGTAGAAGCTGTGAAATCAATCCTTCGAGTATTACCCATCTGGTCAACTGGGATCCTGTTCAATGTCAGCGTAACTCAGTACTCTCTCATCACGCTCCAAGCAGAAACCATGAACCGACGCATCTTCCCGAACTCGAGCTTTCAAATCCCATCTGGCTCCCTCAACAGCTTCAGTCTCGTAAGCTACACCCTCAGCATCATGGCATACTGCAATTGTACTGCCTTCCATCGAAATTTTGTTTTATATTCTTAGATGTTGCGGGGAGAGTAGTTGTTTATTTACTACATTTATTTAGCTCAACTGGTTACCTGTGTACGTAGATATACATTATTATTTGGTTTCTGCGTGTACTTACATAGATTTTAATGATGATGAGTGTATGTAAGTGGAGGTGTTGAACCCTTTATCTCGACAATACTAATATATATGATGAAGAAATCCAGTCGATACCCAGACCCAGACCAAGACCCAGCAGCAAGTAAAGTAACGTTTGCCAGGTACGTCTGCCATCTTTTTTTGTTTTTTGCTTTGGCAAGTGAATATAGCATTGGAACTTCAGCTTAAAAGAAACGTTTCTTTCTTATTTCTGAAATAATGTTTCCACATCAGCTGCCTGCCATGCTATATCTTTACAAAGAGAACAATGACAAGCGTATAAATGAACAGAAGCATGATTTCACTTGTAATGCTGAGAATGTAAAACTGAGAAATAGGGAAGATAAACAACAAATGAACAGCAACCGGAACAAAGTCGCGAGGGATCCATCCATCCCTATTTCTCAGCAACGGAATGTGATAATTTTCCTCTTCATGTGCAGTTTGATCAGTTCAAAGCTAGACGTCACTGACCATATGCATTAGGGGCAAAAATGAAGTGGGATGAAGCAAAGCGAGGCCGGCGTTGAGGAAGGAGCGGCGGCGGAGACGATCGCGTCATGGCCACGGTGGCGTAGATGGCGGAGGTAAGTTTTATTTTTATTTTTTAATAGTTGTAAAATGAGGTGGAAATTGTAAATATTTAAATTTTATTTTTTTATTATTTTTTTAATGGCCACGTCACTCATTTAACGGTCAACTATAATAGTTGACTACCACATCAGCAAAAACTAACAGAGACTAACGGAGAGTGACCAAACTTGAACTATTGAACTAATCTTAGTGACTATAAATGGAATTAAATATTTGCAGTGACCAAACATGAACGATTTTAGTGAACCCAGTGACTATCCTTGCAATTAACCCTATTTTTTTTTCCAGGGAAATGTTGGGCAGTCTTTTCTAATCCTAAAGATGAGGGACAACGCTTCGTTTTATCTGCTGAGGAAGAATCTGTGTTTGAAAAAGGTACATATCCATCGGTTTTCACGTTCACCATGCCTTCCCTATTATAAATTTGTTTTGATTCATACTTCTATGTAATTCTGCAGCACAAAGCTAGTTGCAAGCTGAACTGCAATGTATTGAAAAAGTTCTTTCCCAACTGGCACGACAGAGGAGACATATAATTTTAAAAAGGAAGTGCAAGCGCAAGCGAATGAATGTCATACATAAACAGGTTGAGCAATTTAATGGTTGGTATTTTGTTGTGTGTTTGTCTTAATCTGAATTTATAGTGAACTCATATTGTTTGTTTTTTAAATTATTTAGATACTGGAAGGTTGGAGAATGAGTATCTTAATATACTCAGCAAACGAAATCGGTTGTACCGCCGTATCCATTTGGTCCAAAAACGTCGACACCAATCCCTTTTCCAAAATCGATCCAAACAGAGTATGTGTTGTCCAAGATCGGAGAATATATTCCCTGTAGATGTTGGTGTATTGTTCTTTTATAATTCACATTTTGTTCATCTTTTGGATACAAATGTAAAGGGGATAAAATTATTCTTATTATTACAATTCTGGAATGACATATGTGTCTTTGCATTTCATTATTCTCATCATTACTTCTGTAGACTGGATAAATTTTTCTCATTATGTTCTGTGTTATAGGTTTTCCAATTGTCGAGTTTTTCGATATTGGATTCCCATCATGCACTTGCCTACATTGTGGTGCTGTGTTTTGGCGGTATGAGAGCACGTCATCCACAAGGAATCATTCAAATCCTTCGTTTGGTTTGTGTTGCAAGCATGGTAAGGTGAAGCTTCCTACGCGTAGAGATCCTCCAGAATTCTTGAAGAACTTACTTGAAGGTGATACTGCAGAAAGCCGTCATTTCCGCGCTAACACGAGAGGTTATAATGGTATATTTTGTTTAATTTCCATCGGTGGGAAAGTTAACCACTCGATTAATGATGGAAAAGGTGTTTACGTGTACTCAATTGGAGGGCAAATTTATCATCGAATTGGAAGCTTGGTTCCGCCTGACGGTGTTAGTCCTAAATTTTCACAACTATACATTCATGATTCGGACAATGAGGTTCAGAATCGCATGGAGTTTTACTCTTCAGATCCTGATAAGAATCCCTTACTCGTATCTATTGTTCAAGGTCTTCAAGAAATGCTTGATGCGAATAATGTTCTGGTACGTATTTTTCGTTCTGCGAGAGATAAGATAGCTGAGTCTGATGTTAATGAATTTCAGCTTAAATTATTTTCTAAGAGGGAGGGTAATGGTAGGGAATACGATTTGCCCACTGCAAATGAGATTGTAGCATTGATTGTTGATGAAACAGGAATTGAAACATTCTCTCCTGATATAATCGTTCAACATCGTAGTTCTGAGATGGAAAGGATAAATTCGTATCATTCCAGTCTTATGCCTTTACAGTATCCAATTTTATTTCCATATGGAGAAGATGGGTGGCATCCAAATATTAGTTTTCTTCAAAATACAATTGGTGGAGGGGAGAAAATGGTATCACAATGTGATTATTATAGCTATCGTCTGCAAACTAGGGTTGTTGAATCAAATTCTTTGTTACTCTTTGGGAAATTATTTCAACAATATATGGCATATGCTCTAATTGAAGCGGAACGTTTGGACTGGATGCATAACAATCAATCAAAGTTAAGAGGGCACCATTGTCAGGGGTTGGTAGATTCTTATTTGCAAGGTAATAGTGATCTTAAGCTGTCCGGAAAGCCAGTGATTCTAGGGGCATCACATACTGGAAGTCCAAGATACAAGTATGAAAATTTCCAAGATGCTATGGCCATTTGCAAATGGATTGGATATCCTGATTTGTTCATCAGATTCACATGTAACTCGAATTGGCCTGAGATTCAATTGATGATTGATTTGGTTAGACAATTCACTGGCAAGGATCATAACTCGAATTGGAGCTCATATCAATGTTGAATTTTGCAACAAAACAAGGTTAGTGGGTCAGTCTTCTCTTCTTATTTTTTTTATATTATTTCACCAGCAGTTTTTTGCATTCAATATGTGTACTGAATATTATAAAGTAGGTAATCGAATTAGTTGATTTCAAATTTATTTATTTCTACCGTAGCTATTAATTTTTATGGGAGGTATAGTTCACATAAGGTTATGTATTCTATATATCAACTAATTCCTCTAGACACATGAACTAAATTTTTTAGGGCTGTCAAATATTTGTTTAAGTATATAAACAAACCTGAGGATCGTGCTATGGCAACTTTGGCTATGCAACAACATACATCAGGTGTTTTGTCTGGCTCTTCGAAGAACACAGTAGGGCAAATTGATGAAATTAAAGCATTTATGGATGCCTATTACATAACATCTGGTGAAGCGTGCTGGCGAATATTTAAAAATTATATTTATAATCAGTCTCCACCTGTTCTTCGACTGTCATATCATTTGCCTGGAGAGAATATAGTGTATACCAATGCAAATTCCCGTGTGCAAGATGTAATTGAAGATAAAGGGAAAACAATGCTTTTGGCATGGATGGATCTAAATGCTAAGTCACCCGAAACTCACAAATACAGCTTTGCTGAATTGCCACAACATTATGTTTGGAAGAATAAGGAGAAAAGGTGGCAAAAGCGTAAGAGAGGAATGTGTATAGCAAGACTATATTACTGTTATCCATATGCACAAGATAGATACTACTTGCGTTTGTTATTGAACGTTGTGAAGGGTTTTTGTAGCTATGAGGATATTAAAACCGTGAATGGTATTACTCATCCTTCATTTCAAAAAGCATGTTATGCACGAGGTTTGCTCGCTGCTGATACTGAATGGAATGATTGTCTTAATGTAACACCCTACCCTATACGTATTACCTAATCATATTGTTCATACAATTGCAGCGGAAATAATCTCGGGTGTTACATTAATTATCAAAATTTACCCAATTAAAATTTCGACATGAATTACTCGCGTAATGGGCTAACAATTCTTGTAACTAAAACCTGCAAAATAATTTATCTAAATCCCGGCATCCATAAACAAACATATATACTCACCACCATATACATTGACTTTCATAGCCATAGGCATAGTTTCATACTCCACAACTGCATACCTTACTAATACATATCATAGTCGTCATAACTTACTCAGTTACACAACATATACACATATCATCTACTTTCCACACATGTGGATATCTTACACCACATCAGAAGCTAGTATGCACATGAAAAACGTTCTCAAAACATTTTTACAAAAGAGGTGTGGATCACAGGCCAAAATCCCGAGTACTAGTCCAAGCACAGAATAGGTGAAGACCATACCTCATCCTGGCTTCAACTCTAGCTCCTCTCCCACCTAACACTTATCTACTGCTGCTGCTGATGATCTGCTTACACATAGCATAAGCAGATAAGAAGAATAAAAGAGGGTCAGCTCATAGCTGAGTGAGATAATCATAGCATCGTGAGTTCATAACAGAGCATACCCCTATCATACATCTAACAATCAAGCCAAAACACTAGGATCGGACCTCAGCCATCCTCATATCCCAATAGGCAAAAGACTCAACCACCCTGACTTATGCATATGCATCTTATCATGTTTTAATCATAGGCGCCTGGCTACTTCCATGCTAATTACTCTCCCGGGCATACGGACCAAACATCTCGTGGATGCGGTCATATCGGACCCACCACTGCCGGTGTAGTCATATCGGACCTGACACCACTCTGGGTGTGGTCATATCGGACTCGACACCACTCTGGGTGTGGTCATATCTCATGATGAATCAACGGTCAACACCACATCAGGGGTGTGACATAACATATCATAACGGAGTAATAGCATGGGGAGCCCTAATTACTATGTAATTGACCATGAGGCCAAAGTACTCTTACTTGGTATC